AGGATAAAATGGGAGAGTTTTAGTCCGGTGGGTTAGGTGATACGAGTTTGACGGGTCGGGATCGCGAGATTGCAGCACACCCATAAACTACAGGCCGCTACCATTTTGGTTCACTTCTTAACGAGGCCTGGTCCAAAATATACGTTTTGTCACCAAGTTTACTGTACAGCATGTTAGGTGCATGAATCTCACCGTAGGAGGCTCGCAGTCGACTGTACACTTTTTTCTTACTCTGCTGAAATTTTCATGTACAGCTCGGCACACGCTGGCGTCAATGTACAGCCAGGCCTGCCTACTTCTACAGCAGTTCGAGAGGTAGCATGAGCACGGGCCGAAATATGCGCGATAACTGAGTTTCTACTCGAACTTTCAGTCATATACATATGGCGTGTGGCAGAAAAAGGGCATTAAGATTTCCCCCGAAAAAAAGTTACGGCCCCGCAGCTTGACTGATTTCAGTTCATTAACTATTCAGTCGCTTGAAGAGTAATTTTCACTTAAAACGAGTATTTTGTTAATAAGGGTTTTGAGCTCAGTGAAAGACAATATTTAGTTTGATGAACAAAATAGGGCCAAAATACTTTCGATGGAGTTGTGGATACATATCTTAAAGCAAAAACGCACAAGTACCTTTATTTAAAATTAGGAGGTGTTCAACGTGATGAACTACGCAGCATAGAAGCTTCTCCTCAATCAACCGGGGTACATCCACCTGAAAGGGGCGGTTTTAAAGGGATAAACCATGCATACGGTCTCTAGTCGTAGCAAAAGGGCACTGCATGCGTGCTGAAACTGCAGCTTGATCTCCGACGGAAATTGGGGATCATTTGAAAGTTGACTAAAAACGAAAAGAGTGTTTTGTTAAATGTTGCGGGTCTTCTCATTTATACGGTGATTCTATTATCAAAACTTACTTGAACCAACTTGTGATGAAACGTTCGATGGTGAGATCAAATAGCTATTAAGTAAATTTTGTATGATACACAAACCCTTTGAAGATTTTCATTTATATGGTAAGGTAGTTTTACAATTCTAGGATCAAAGAACGTAGTTGAGTGGCTAAAAATAGAGAATCGGGTTAAGAGGTCATACGTGATTATTCCACAGCGGCAGTAGCAAGCAGATCCAAGGGGACCGTTACTTTGGTCACCATTCTAAAAATTAACTCTTCAGTAGGATATCGAACCTTAATATTACACGATTTCCACCTGAGAATAAATATGCAAAATGGTCCTTACCTGAGAAAACTACCCAAAAGGTAGCCGCTCAAGAAGAATAACAATATTATTAGAATAGCGACCATTATAGCGTCTCTTCAGCATTGTAACATTGAGAGTTAAGTCCAAATGAGGGAAGATTTTCCTCTAAATGCGTCCTAACGAAAGATACACG